ATCCCCCTTCGGCAGATTCTCAGAGTGGTGGCTCCTTCTCTTTCCCTTGATCATCCTATTCCTAGATTCTCCAATGTTTTCTTATTATAAATGTTGATCGTATGAATTTCTTTTTCTTCTTTATGCAAAGTTTTCAACCATTTTGATTTATTATAGGTTTTTTAGAGATTTTAATGTTCTGCATAATTATTAATTTTTTTTTTTATTATTTTGTAGATGGAACAAACCTTTTGAATGGATGGTTTTATATAATAATTGATGTGAGGTCTTTAAGTTTTAATTCTTCATTCTTTTTATTTAGATTTGATATAGCAAGAGGGCGTCGTAATGTATGTCTTATAATCTCTCTTTCAATTTGCGTTGTCGATTACAGAACTTTCTGTTATGGATCCCGCTAGATTAGAAAATAGAATGCATAAAGAGACTCTTTTGAGAAAAATAAAACAAAAAAAACTTGATATGTCAGGCAAGCCTTTGACGCAAAGATAATAGAAGGGAAAAAAGCTGAAGAATCTGCTCAATAGATACGACAGTTGAATCAAAAGATTTGTTAGATAATTCCATTTTCTGTAGTTAAGAAAATTTTCCCAAGCCAGATCAATTTTTGGCAAAATGTGTTTGCAGGCGCGCAGTTCCCCACCCAGTTCCAAAGTGGTTAAGGATTTTGCCTACATGCGGTGAGACCCTTAAAATAAAAATTCCTGAAATCAGTTTTAATGGTTTATGACCGTCATGTGGTTAAGGATTTTGCCTACATGCGGTGAGACCCTTGAAATCATGAACTTTCTTGAATATTTTTGAGTTAGAGGAGTCAATTTTCAACGCCCTGGTTTCGATTTCGGTGCTTTCTTGTACTGACGAGGTATTCAAATTTAAAATTGAGCAAAAAAAAAAAAAAAAACAAAAAAACAAAACAAAGATTTTTAGCTGAATAGCATGGAGTCAACATCAACAATTATATCAAGAGGCACGATTATAGGGAAAATTCTTTGGCTTCATCGAAGGTTCGAATAGTTTTTTTTTTTTTTAATGTCTGATGATTTTTGAGATCTTATTTTTAGCAATTTTTTGCCAGAATTCCATTGGAGGGATTTCTTTTAAATTAAGAAATAGGGCCTTTTATACACACACACATATATAAAGGCCACCAATCTCACACATAAGTAACACTCATTGTCATATTTTAATGGTCAAATCTATCTTTTCAGTCATAGATAAAGTGTTATGTGTGTAAAAATGAGAGTTTAGGTGCGAGATAGACAAATTCATGAGAATTGGGTGCGATGAATGTAATTTTCCCTAAAAAATATTTTCATTTTAGTTTTTATTGGCAGATTAAAATTTGATAGTAAGTCCATTTGAAATCAACCGAAAAGACCATTTTTTTGATAAATTTTGGTGATTATTTTGGCATATTTTATTTTGGTTAATGTACACCAGAAATAGACCTGATTAAGGGTGCAAGTGAGTCAAGCCGACTCAAGTGCTCAACTCGATAGGTGACTCATGAATTGAGCTTAATGAGCTAACAAGTCAAGCTCAAGTTGGTCTCGACTCAACTCGTTAGTTTGTGTTTAAGAAAATATTAACATAAAATACACTCAAAATATACTAAATTTCAAAACTTTATCTTTAAAGTATTAAAATCATTGAATAATTAATATTTTTTTATATATTATGTGATTTCATATTATTTATTACATAATTGTTCATTATATTTATCAACTTATTATAAAATTAATTTAAATTAATATTATTTTCTCTCGTTTATATTAAAAAGCCAGCTCGAAATTGTATGCTTAAGCTCGAACTCAAGCTCGATAAAATTAATCAAGTTCAAGCTGAAGCTGAAGCTGAGGGCGGTCTAAATAGGTTTTGTTGGTCTAAATCGAATATCCAAACCTTATGGGCTTGAAGGACCCATCTACGTGGAAGCCACCCTTCTCTAGTTGCCGAACTGACATGACGAATTGGCTTGACAAACTAGTCTTTCTGTTCCACCTGACAAACTGACCAATCAAACTCATCAGTCTCACCCACCTCATTGACAATCATTGTAACTGTAACAACACGTAAGTCAAGACCAACATCAAGAATATGATCGACATATGTCATATCCTCATTTATGAGCCGCCTGACATACACGTCGTAATTTTTTTTAATGAGACATTGTCGAAAAATTTGTACTGTTGAATTCATGAGAGAGAGAGAGATGAACAGTAAAGTGATTTCTTCTCACATTAATACTCTTTTTTTCTTTACAAATCATGCTCTTCTATTTATAGGTGAAGAATCATCATAAAACTACAATAATACCCTTGTCTTTTACAATCAGCTGGAGATGTTCGACTAGAGCCTGTCAGTCCATTTGGAACTTGTCAGTCCGTTTGGAACTTGTCAGTCCGTTTGGAACTTGGCCGGGGCCGAACGGAGCCAGGCCAGGGCCAAGCAAAACCTGGCCAGCACCGAGGGGAAAATGGTTGGGACCGAGTGGAACCTGACCATGGATTGTAGTCATTAGTAAGTGTTAGACGAATATCAACGCGGTATGTTGGAACTCTGGTGATGGGGAGTGATCAATGTCACTCTTATAGTAAGAGAGAAGAGTAGGCAACCAATAAAATGAAAACTAGACATTGGTGGTTAAAAAATGTTAGATGGATGTCATTGGTAGGAGCCAAGCGATAGAGTATAAAGGGCATCAAAATTCAATGTTGATATAAGCAGTTAGGTAATGATTGATGATCAATTTGTCATTTATTGTAATAAGAGCGAATATTCTGTGACCAATAAGATTGATTTTGGAGCATGGCCAATCATCAATCACAGTCACACATTAGATGGTGATCAATGGTGGATGTAAGTCAAGCGGTCGTGGGTTATCATTCCAGCCATTCTCTTGATAAGATGGGATATTGATTAAAATTCATATATTAGATGTCAATAATTGATGAAAGTTAGATATTAGTTTTTGACAAGTATAGATGTCAATAATTGATGAAAGTTAGATATTAGTTTTTGACAAGTATCAAATGATAGTTGATTTGAAGTTAAAATTTAAATGATGGTGGGTGACACTAAATCTTTTTTCTAATGGAGAGGTGACTGCGCAATAAAAATTAAAGTGGTTAAATGTTAATGGATAATGGACATTGGACATTAATGGATGGCCAACTGTCGAATTGTGTGTTTGCCTAATAATAGAGAGATTGGATGACTAACACATAAATACCAGACATTAGTGGTTAGCTGATATTAGATGTCAATCTTTGTTGGTGAACATATAAAGCTTTGTAAGAAATGTTTGAAGATCGTGACAGGGGGCATTCTACATGGTTAGATCTTTGATAGGGGAGATTGTGCAATTTATAATATGGACATAAAAATTTAATGACAAACATATTGAACGTTTGTTGATCGGTAGCAGTTGAGGTGGCGATGCCTGAATTTATCTTAGCTTTGAAATTCTTATGTACCTTACATCCCTCTGCATCAAAATTTCTTTGCTTAATATGCATAAATAAAGGTCTATTTATAAATATTTGGAGGGGCTTTTTAATTATTTCTTTAAAAATTATACACTCCATCAGACTGTCCAAATAGAGCCTCACTGACCATTTTACTTTTTCTTGAAATGTCAATAAACTTAGAATTAAGTGATTTTAGTTAAGCTTATCATATTCATCTCTGTTGCATGTTTCACTTGTATGGAAGTATACTTTTGTTGCTCAAATAGCCTATAATGTTTCCCCTTATGCTTCTGTCTATGTATGATTTAAGCTCATTTGAACCATGATCCAAATATTTTAGTATCATTAGATTCATCTTTTTGAATCACACTTTGTTGATTTGAATTTTACTGAAACAGTTTGGATGATCTCTGATTGACTTCATGTCATTTCTAGCTTAAACATTCAATTATACGTCAACATTTGTAATTCTATCAAGTTTATTATGGCTTCAACATTGAGGAAACTTCAGAAACTTAATCTAATCCACCGCCTGCAACTCAATGAATATCACTTGAATAAATTGCTTTTAAGGGGAGTCATTTTTTGTCGTGAATTCACATTGAAATATTGCAATATCAAGTAGATATATATAGAGTGTTTAAGACTTGGGCCTCAAATCCTCCTCTAACTGTATGCGTAAGATGCATTTTCTTAAAACCCTCCATATATTACATTAATAGAACATCAAAGAATTATTCGCCAAGACCAGATACTTGTTAGAAATAAATGTTAAGTGGAATTTAACAAAAAAAAATGAAATTGAGGCAATATGATACACAATTATGAACATCAAACGTTTACATTTCAACCAGTTTTCACATTTGTTTAGTTAAAATTCTGAGTACAAAATAGATTTTATAAAAATGCTACAAATATCATAGAAATTTTAAAAGAGCAAAAAAACAAGAAGCAAGATTTACAAACATACCACTCAATTCCTATGTATTTACACATCTAACACCTAAATTTCAGTTCTTACATAATGCCACCTTATGCATGAAAAGTGTTAGTTCAGTTTCTAAAGTATATTTCCTTTTCTAAAGTTAAAATAGTGGTTTTTTTTTTTATGTGATATGAAAGATTTGGAAGGTATACAAATGCCAAAAGTAAACATTAGGTGTTAGATATAAATACATAGGAATTGCGTGGTGTGTATGTAGATGCCCCCTAAACAAATCCTAAAGATCCATGCGATTCGAAAGGAGAAAAGAGAAATAAGACCAAATCCTACCGCTCGGAATAGCAACAAGAACATCAAAATTAATAAATTTTGAGAACACCACATTATGACAACATTAAGTTCCATGATAAAGAAAGGCTATAACACCATCAAATGGAATTTCTCAAATTTATTGGCCAGTCATTATCATTTGAAATCATAACTAATTAAATCAATGCATGAACTCAACACTCAGTGGCAACCACACTTATAGCTTTGGGACTCTCTTACTGGGGAGAACCTTACTGAGCTGGGGCATTAGCTAACTTGGCTCTCAGCTCCTTCCTCAAAATCTTCCCTGCTGGAGTTTTTGGTATCGCATGAACAAAATAAACCTTATGCAATCTCTTGTAGAAAACCACCTGAAAGATAGCCGCAGAGTTCATTAATTCTGAAGCAGTTTATCTTTCTAATAATAAACAATAGACGAATGCACCATAGTGTTATCAAATTTATTTATTTTCTCTAGGTGTTAGATATGTAAATACATAAAAATTGTGTGGTATATAGTTCTGCAAATACCCCTAAACTTAATTAAATGAAATCACCTGCTTCCCTATGAACTCTTTCACATCATCCTCAGTGAGTTCAATATTGTCAGTGGATCGAGTAATGAAAGCAACTGGAACCTCACCAGCAGCTTCATCCTTCTGTCTGTAAAGCCACATTAATTAGGTACTTTAGAGTTTAAGAAAATATGAAAATTTGTTTCATGAATTGAATTTAAGAGAACTTCTGATGAGTTAAAAGTGATTACGGGACAACGGCCGCGTCAGCAATACAAGGATGGCTTAGAAGAAGTGCTTCAAGCTCAGCCGGAGGAACCTGCAAACAAAAGATACAACTTGTCAAGCAAAATCAGCAAGACCGATCTTATAAAATTATAAAAAACTCGTCTTATTTTCCCAATATAAATTCCTGGAAGAACGAAATGGATGACAACCTGAAAACCCTTGAATTTGATGAGCTCTTTGACCCTATCAACAATGAAAACCTCATCATCATCATCCACATAGCCAACATCCCCCGTGTGAAGCCACCCTTCCATATCAATAGTCGCCAAAGTAGCTTCCTGGTCATTGAGATAGCCTGTATCCAAACAACTAATTAATTTCACTGAAGTGAAGTAAATTACGAGTGATGCATAGCAAGAACGTGCTAATTTGTGTAAGTTGTCTGGAACAACTAATTAATTTCACTGAAGTGAAGTAAATTATGAGTGATGCAAAGCAAGAACGTGCTAATTTGTGTAAGTTATTTGTCTGCTAGGAGTTAGATGAAGCATGGGGGTACGTGCCTTTCATGATCTGATCTCCACGGATGCAGATCTCGCCGGCCTTGTTTCGGTGGAGGGAGAAGCCGGTCTCTAGATCGATAACCTTCAGCTCTGCATTGCGGACGATGGTGCCGCAGCTGCCGGACTTGGCCGCCGTCGGCTGCCTGGGGG